GCAAGTCATGATGGAGGGAAAGGAAAACCATAAGATGAAGAAGCAGAAGCAGATCATGCGGCCCACTGAGTGTGCTCAGTCATTCAATTAGATCGTGACTGATCTGATAATCCTCAACTCTTCTGCTTTTTCTCCATAACCATTAATCCCCTTACTGATTAAAAATCTATCTGTCTCAGCCTTGAATATACTTTTCGACTCAGTCATAACAGCCATTTGTGCTTAAAAAAAAATCCACAGTACACTCCCTTCTGAGAGAAGGAATCCCTCTTCATCTCTTACTTAAGTAGGTGACCTCTGAGGTTACAGCCTCTGGTCCTAGGCATCTCCACAAGGGGAAACAACTTGTCTGCATCTACCCTGTCAGGCCATTAATAATTATAAGAGGGTTATAAGGGATACAGCATAACATGGGAAATTGCCCATTTTGACAGAAGGTATAAAAAAGAAGCATAATATCTAAATGGTGAGAGGTTATAGAGCTGAGATGCAGAGGGATCTGGGTGTCCAACTGCATGAATCACAAAGGCTACCCTGCAGGTACAGCAAGTAATCAGGAACTCATGAGAATGTTTGCTTTATTGTAAGGGGAATTAAACATAGTAGTAGGAAGTTTATGCTTCAGTTATACAGGACATTGGCAAGACCACATCTGGAAACTCTGTCCAGTACTGGTCACTGTACTTACGGAAGGATTTGAATACATTGGCAGCAGTTCAGAGAGGGTTTACTACAGTTATCCCTGGAATGAGCAGATTGCCTTATGAGGAAAGGCTAGACAGGCTGGGCCTGTATCCACTGAGTTAGAACACTCAGAGAGACTTAATTAAAAGACACGAGATCCTGAGGGACTTGAGCGGGGAGATGTGGAAAGGTTGTTTCCTCTTGTGGGAGAATCTAGAACAAGCAATCACTGTTTAAAAATAAGGTGGTGCCCATTTAAGACAGGGATGTGGATTTTCTTTCTCTCAAGGGTTGAGTGTCTTTGGGATTCCCTTCCTCAAAAGATAGTGATGCAGAGTCTTTAAATATTTTTAAGGCTGAGGTAGAGAGATTCTTGATTACCATGGGGCGAAAGATTATTGGGGGTATGCAGCTGAGGATAAAAATCAGACCAGCCATGATCTTAATGAATGGTGGAACAGGATTGGAAGGGCCAAGTGGCCATCCCTTGTTTGTATATTCACTAAGGTTGCCTCTCATTTTTCTAAGCTTCAATGACAACAAACCCAACCTACTCAACCTCTTCTCGTAAGGATACTCCTCTATTCTCAGGATCAACCATGTGAAACTTCTTTGGACTGCCTCCAATTCCAGAACATCTTTCCTTAGGTATGGGGAAAAAAACTGTTACACAATACTGTTTCACAGCATTCTAGGTGTGGTTTAACTGGTGCCTTATGTAGTTTTAGCAAGACTTCCTGACTTTTATACTCCATTCCCTTTAAAATAAAGGCTAACAGTCCTTGAACTTGTATGTCACCTCTTGTGATTCATGGCTGAGGACCCCCAAATTCCTTTGTGCTGCAGTTCTCTGCAATCTTTTGCCATTAACAAAATATTCAGCTCTTCTATTATTCTGCCAAAGTGAACAAAGTGCTTAACCTCCATTTTCCAAAATTACATTCCCTCTGGCAACATTCATTCAACCTGTCTAAATGCCTCTTGGTGATTTTTCACGGTTTTTATTCTTTTATCGGTTTTGGTTTGGAGCTGTGAACTGTGAGCTAAAGATCACTTCTGGACTGTGGTTAACAGCTTTTGTTAAAAGGAAAATGGACTAAGTAAACTTTTGTTTATTCATGAAGCCAGGCTTGGAAGTCAATTGCAGGTTGGTCCCTAATCAAGGTTCTGTAGACTTTGTCACCAGGAAACAGCATTGTGTTAATAGTAGAAGTTGCTATGAACAAAGTCAGTATTTGGGAATTGCTTTCAGCAAGTCTGGGAAAAAGCCTTATGTTAAGCAGATGGCAATTTTGAATGGTAATTGGGACCTTGTGGAGGAAACGATCAGGCCGTCAGGGCGGAGGTCAGAGTTTGAAATGAGTTTTCAGTGAGAAGGAATCTGGCTGTTGATACTACATTATTAAGATTTGAAAGTTTCCTGCCTAATGTCTCTTATCAGCTCCTGGAAGCTCAAAGAATAAAAAACTAAGAAACTAAAACAAAACTAACGAAGAACTGTAAAGATGATCCTGATCGACATCGAAATTATCATCAATGCTTCTAGAACAATGCATCACGAGAAACACTTCAGTCATCTGGCCAGCTTTGTTATTTTTTTTTTATTTGCCCTTCCCCTTCATGTTTGTCTGTCTTTTGAGTGAATGGGGCTGAAAAGCAAGGATTTTCGGGTTTATGCCATAGACCAATTAGATTACATTGTTGTTTAATTTTTTTTTGCTGTGTGAAAGTTACTGTATTATTAACAAATTCTTAAATGCCTTAAGATATAGTATCAAGAATTGTTTATTCCCCCAAAGTCTGGGATTGGTTATTTAAAAGTAAGCTTCTCATGCACAGCAAGAGACAGCCCAAGTGAGTACATAGTTCCGGGAATCTGGAGGCAACATGGGAATAGAACTTAGAAATTTTCCTGTCTTTCTTCATTTTAGAAGTTTAAAATTCAATAGTCCAGTGAAAAGATTAATAAGGTAGCTGACTCAGCCTGACTAAGGGACAATTATCAGCCAAAGAAATGGTGGAGGAACTGATTCGGTATTTTGCATTAATTTTCACCGAAGATACCAGCAGCAAACCAGAATTTTGAGAGAGTCAGGGCACAGAGGTGAGTGTAACAGGCCACCATTAAAAAGGTGCTGGGAAGCTGAAAGGTCTGAAGGTGGATAAATCACACAGACTGGATAGACTACACTCTGGGTCTGAAGGAGATAGCTGAGAAGATTATGAAAGCATTGGTGGTGATTTTTCAGGAATCATTGGAGTCAGGGAGGGTCTAGGATGACTGGAAAACAGTTAACGTAATACCCCTGTTTAAGAAGGGAGGGAGGCAGAAGACATGAGACTATAGGCCGGTTCGTCTGATCTTGATCATTGCTAAGATTTTAGAGTCCATTATTAAGTCTGAGATTGTAGAGAACTTGGAAGTGCGTGGTAAAATAGGGCTGAGTCAGCACGGCTTCATCAAGAGAAAGTCATGCCTGACAAATCTGTCAGAATTCTTCTAGGAGGTAACAAGCAAGTTAGAAAAAAGGAGAGGCAATGGACGTGATCTGTTTGGATTTCTAGATGGCCTTTGGCAAGATGCGACACAGGAGGCTGCTAAATAAAATAAGAGCCCATAGTGTTAGCAGCAAGGTACTGGCACAAATAGAATTGGCTGACTGGCAGAGAGCAGAGAGTGGGGATATCGGGGTCTTTTTCAGGATGGCAGGTAGTGACTAGTGGAGTTCCGCAAGGGTCCAAGTTGGGACCACAACGATTCGCATTATACATTAACAATCTGGTTGAAGCAAGTGAGGGCATTATTACTAAGTTTGCAGATGACACAATGATAGGTGGAGAGGCAGGTAATGTTGAGGAAGCGGGGAGGCTGCAGAAGGTCTTGGACAGGCTGGGAGAGTGGGGACAAAGAAATGGCACATGGAATGCAATATGGGAAAGTGTGGGGTCATGCACCTTGGTAAGAAGAATAGATGCGTGATCTACTTTCTAAACAGGGAAAGGCTTCAGAAATCTGAAGCACAAAGGAATTTGGCAGTCCTAGTTCAGGACTCTCAAGTTTAACATGCAGGTTCAGTTGGCAGTTAGCATTCATTTCGAAAAGGCTAGAATATAACAGCAGAGATGTACTGCTGAGACTGTATATGATTCTGGTCACTTCACATTTGGAATATTGTGAGCAGTTTTGGACTCTATTTCAGGAAGGATTGCTGGAGTTGGAGGGGATCCAGAGGAGGTTTACAATAATGAATTTGGGGATAAAGGGCTTGTCATATGAGGAGTGGTTGAGGACTCTCGGTATATACCTGATGGAGTGGAGATGATGTTTCCACAAGCAGGAGAAACTAGGAACTGAGGGCACAGTCTCCGAATGAAGGGAATAACCCTTTAGAACTGAGATGAGGAGGAATTTCCTCAACCAGAGGTAATGGCCTAGTGGTATTATCACAGGACTCTTAATCCAGAGACCCAGGTAATATTCTGGAGGCCTGGGTTCAAATCAGCAGATCGCATAAACTGAATTCAGTAAAAATCTGGAATTAAGAGTCTAACGGTGACCACAAATCCATCACCAATTGTCAGAAAAACCTATCTGCTTCACTCATGTCCTTTAGGGAAGGAAACTGCCATCTTTACTTGGTCTGGCCTAAATGTGACTCCAGACCCACAGCAATGTGGTTGACTCTGAACTGCCCTCTGGACAATTAGGGATGGGCAATAAATGCTGCCTGGCCAGTGATGCCCTCATCCCGTGAATGA